GGGCGTTTTTTCTACATATTGTCAGTTTTAACTAACTCGCTTCCAATTTTCTATCCCCCCTCACCCCCACCCCGATCTCCCCTCCCCTGAAAACATGAGCAGATCTGCAGACCCCTCAAGCCCAGCATAACCATCCGTCAAGCCAAGCTGGTGGTGGCGGCGGGCACCGTGGGGAGTGCCCTGTTCAGCGTGCTGGCCCTGGTCATCAACGGGCCGCAGGAGATCACCATCCGGATGAACAACGGAGAGCTGGCGCGCGTGCTCATCTGCCGCTACGACCGCCGCTTCGCCGGCACGCCCCTGCAGCTGGCGCTCTCCCTCATCCTGCTCACCGCCTTCTCCGTCACGCTCTTCCTCACCGTCTTCTTCTACTTCCTCGTCTACCGCGCGCTGAGGAACTTCGAGCGTCGGAACTCGCTCACGGGCGGCGGCGCCGGCAGCTGCAGCAACCCCAGCTCGCCCACGTCACCGTTGGGCCTGGACTCGGCCGCTGGTGGAGCCGTCGCCGGAGGTCATGGCACAGCGCCCACGCCGCTGCCAGAGTTCCCGATCGCCGCGCATCGCGAGTACGCCGAGGCGGCCCCGCCGGCGGAAGAGCGGCGACGCCGGTACCGCGAGCAGACGCGGCAGTCTCGCGCGACGTCCATCTTCTCGGCCGGCGGCGGCGGGGACCGCGTGTCCAGCCAGATGTACAAGACGTTCCTCATCATCACCGTGGTGTTCATCGTTAGCTACTTGCCGCACCTGGTCGTGCTCATCCTCAACAAGGTGCTGAGGCTGGACAGCCAGGTGCTCACCTACACGCAGCGCGTCTTCCTTGAGCTGGCCTACAACTGCCCCTACATCAGCACCGTGGCCAACCCGGTGGTCTACGGCTTCCGCAGCGCAGAGTTCCGCGAGAACTGCCGGAAGTTTCTCAGTTGTCACTGCAGGAACCGACGAAGGAGATACGGTTACTGAGGGAGGAAGGTTCCGCCAGTACTACCCAAAAAAAAAAACCGCTAGTATAAATATGTGCATTGGAAAGGAAGGATATATCTCACTCATAGAGGTAGTCCTAGTACCGACACATCAGTACTGCCAAAAAACGCCAGTATAAAAATAATGTGTGCATTGGAAAGGAAGGATATCTCTCACTCATAGAGGTAGTCCTAGTACCGACACATCAGTACTACCAAAAAAAACCCGCCAATATAAATATGTGCATTGGAAATGAAGGATATCTCGCACTCACAGAGGTAGTCCTAGTACCAACACATCAGTACTACCAAAAAAAAAACCCGCTAGTATAAATATGTGCATTGGAAAGGAAGGATATATCTCACTCATAGAGGTAGTCCTAGTACCGACGCACAGTGGGCTGCAGACGACGTATAACGCGTATTGATGACTTCAATGTCATATTTTACTGAAACACGCCAACTTGGTATTTGAATCGGAAAAGTAGCTCACGGCTGCGGGGTACCTAACAATGAAGTGGGCTTCAAACAATCCCCAAAGCGTTCTGCAGACGTTGGCAGTACGATAAACTGGTATACCAGACGGTACCAGGTACTGCAGAATAATTAACAACGAGCTGCAGATGACACATCAAGCGTTGACAGTACAGTGGGTGTCGCATTCAACGAGGTCACATTCAACAAGAAGTCGGGTCCAACGAGGCAATCCTTAATCCCCGATTTTTTCCTCTATATCTCTTTGTAAATGTACGTCAGCTCCAACGAAGACCGACTAACAAGCATAAGGGACTGCCAAGCCCTAACAGGACGGCTAGTTCACGGCAGAGGGCCGTGTGCTTCCACTGGATTCGTAACACATACTGAGAACTTTGGTGGTGGAGTAACCAGTTCATACAAGGTGTAGTTTGTCGAATTGCCCGGAAATAGAAAACACACTGTGTAGGATGGCATTCTAAAGGCGAGGAAAAGATGACATAACTTCATTGGGCGAAAAAATTACCTTTTTATCCTTCTTTCTCCTGGAAAAAAAACCGCTATGGGATCCGTCTGATTCTTTGTTTACAAAAGATTCATCTATAGGCCTATACTCTGAAATCGAAAAGGCCCATATTACGAACATTGGGATTAATTACTTCTTGGACTGGATAATCATCTCAAACCACGAGAAAGACTGTCGAGCATTAACTAATAACATGTTTAAATTCGTTGTGTCATTGTACTAAAAGTACAAGTGTCATTGTACTAAAAGTACAAGAAAAATGGAAGAGGACAGCTCGTGTGTACGCATCTGAGCAGTGTGAATGAGGGAAATAACCACTTCCGGTATTACTTTTGCTGCCGAGCTGTAATTTACGTCGTCGCACAACAACGGCCATACTTCCTCTCCAACATAACACTAATACTGTATCATAATACTGAATTAGAAAAAAATAGCAACGCAAACAGTAATAAGAAAATGAGAGGACAATAAACCAGAGCACCCACCAACCACCCGCTCTACACGCAGAACACAGGACGCTCCACCAAGCGGTAACAGAGAGGGTGTGACTCGCACACGAGGAAATGGCTCTCTCCACTGAGGACGTGACAAGTGTTTGTGTTGTGTGAGGGCAGACAGCAAGCATTTTGTCCGCTTCTCTCTCCCAGTCACAACGACAAAGTCCCCCCCCCCCCTCCTGTTAGAGACAGGACCCCCAAGTCCCCAACACCCATGTGGCCAAGAGACTACAGGGGGACGAGGCAAAGCCTGGGCTCAAGTGGCTTTCAATATCAGGCCACCGCCGCACTGACTGTCAAGAGGTCTCTCCACGCACAATGTAACCTCTCTGTCCGCGACAGCAGAGTCACTTCTACTTCCTTTGTCGTTTTCTTTCGGTCGACTGGTAAGCTGACCGATACCTTGTATGGTGAACGTGTGAGTGAGTGACGAGTGACTTAGGAGGGCTGGTAACATAAAGAATTTATGTGCGCTATAAGGTTGCTTTTAAGCACAACGGGGCTATCCCGAAAAAAGCTGTTTTGAGAAAATCGAAAGCAAAGTTTATGCCCGTCGTTCAGTTTCTTTAAAAGACAAGGAGATATTTCTCTACAACTAAACAAATATACACACCAATAAAACCAAACTTCTCCTATTTGGTATGACAATGCCCACTTTTGGTGAAGGTCAAGATTTATGGAAACCCCCGAAATCTAGGTTAGCCCGCTTGTCCTTAAAAGCTACCATATATAACGCTTACGTGAGTAAACGTGCGCTGGTCAAATTCATCTACGTCTCGGGTTCTCATGTGTGTCTAAACAAGGCATTGTCAGAGAAGCAAGTTTTTTTGGGGTAGACCAGTGTCCAGAGGCTTGGTGGAATAACCGGTTGTTTGGTTGGATAGCTTGTTTGTCGGCTGCTCGGTTTGACCCAAAGCGGGCAATGTGATCACATTAAATGGTCGCTTTTAAGGACAAGCGGGCTAACCCAGATTTTGGTGGTTTACCAGAAATCTCGACCTACACCAAAAGTGGGCAGTGCCCTACCTATAGGAGAAGTTTGGTTTCATTGGTGTGTATATGTGTTTGGTTATTGAGAAAACGCTCCTTGTCTTTTGAAGAAACTGAACAAGGGGCAAAAACTTTACCTTCGATATTCTCAAAACAGCATTTTTCGGGACAGCCCCCTTGTGCTTAAAAGCGACCGTATAGAAAGTACACTTGTCTTTCATTACCACAACAATTCTAAATCAAATCCCATAAAACTATGGAATAAAATAAACCAATTACGTATAAAATTGAACGCGTGATCTATTGTGTACTTGTGACTGTTAAATCAGCGAGCATTTGGACAAAAAGATATAATGCTTTGCTAACAATAGCACATCTAGAGCTGGAAAACGTACATTCTTTAAGCTTTAAGTTTATCTGTGTGTGTCTGTGTACGTTAGGTAAAGGAGGGTGAGGCTACAGAAAGTGGGGGGTATGAGGCAAGGACGAGACTAAAGGAAAGAAAAAATAAGGAAGAGAGGGTTAGAAGAGAGAGAGAGAGAGAGAGAGAGAGAGAGAGAGAGAGAGAGAGAGAGAGAGAGAGAGAGAGAGAGAGAGAGAGAGAGAGAGACAGTAGGCAGAGAGAGTGGGGGGGGAGAAAGACAAAGAGACAACCAGAGAGAGCCCGGGAGAGAGAGTGAGAGAGACTTATCATGCAGAGTAGGCCTATGCATATATATGGAAGAATTCACCAAATTTATGAAAGAGAGGGGCGCACGGGTGAAAGAGAGAAAGGGGAGGGGTGAGGTAAAAAAAAGTGAGACAGACAGACAGACAGACAGACAGACAGACAGACAGACAGACAGACAGACAGACAGACAGACAGACAGACAGACAGATAGAGAGAAAGAGAGGGGAGAGAGAGAGAGGGATAGAGAGAAAGAGGGTACAGAGAGGGGAGGGAAGAGAAAGAGAAAAAGAGGGGGGGAGGAGAGTGAGAGAGAGGGGAGGCGAGAGAGAGAGAGAGAGAGAGAGAGAGAGAGAGAGAGAGAGAGAGGAAAGTAGAAAGAGTTATTGGAGTGATGAATTTCATTGTTGCCATCATTAAAAGAATTCCATTGAGTGTACTGGTCTCTTTGATTTATTTTGTTCTTTATGTATTTACCTCAGTTCTAACTTGGCAAAACTTCAAAAAGCAAGGTGGAAAGTGTTTGTTCGTGGCCTGATGCAGGGTGAGAAAGGCAGTGATGATGATGAACCTAATTTTCACTTAGAAGCAAATTATATGTGCAGGAATAACTTAAATTACATTTAATAACTGAAGCAAAGAGACAAAGTCAGGGGTTTTTGTCTCTCCGAAAGAAAGCTTTTCTGTCTTCTCCCCGGTAAACAACATGAAAATATTCACAAAATTCCATAGGCATATATATATCAATACGACGCATCATGATGCAGTGATAGTTTAGTTTTAGTAAGAGTTTTACGGCACTTCCAACACAATATAGTCATATATGTGCCGAAGATTAGAGATGTTACAAGAGAGTAACAAACATAAAAAAGGAGGGGAGATAAAGACGATAGAATGTTTGATAGGAAAAAAGAAGCAAACCACACCAGAGCACCCGCCAACCACCCACTGATGCAGTGACAAGAAGAATTCTAGCAGCCTTTTATTCTTTTAGTAAAAGTTTTAATGCACTTGCAACACAATACAATAAGGTCATATAAGTGCCGAAGATTAGAGGCGTTACAAGAGTGTCACAATACAAAAGAGAGATCAGGACAATCAATCTGTTATACGAAAGAAGGAGCAACCCTCACCAGAGCACCCGCCAAACACCCACGAATCCGAGATGAAACGAAGAAAGATATGGACAACCTCAAATGACAGCTCCCTTTTTAACCACAAACATGTACTAGCTGGGCATGTGAGAAAAAAACTATGACAAAGCATGGTGAAAATAAAAATAAAGAGAAGAACAAAACTGTCCAACAGAAAATACAGACAGAACCTATATGTCAGGCATCATGGGGAAATTAGACGCTCGGCAAAATAACAAAATCGAAGAAACTGGCAATATACTGCTGGTTTGGTAATTCTTATCAATTTTTTTTTTTTTTTTGGCTCAACACTTTTTATGACCAATGAAAAACACATTTCGGTGTGAATATTACCGAAAATCGTTGATTACAGGCATAAAAAATGAAAATGTTCTGTTTCCAAGGACTCTCAATCTATGGAAATTACCGAACTTTGGCGACCCTGCCTCCTTCAATCACAAATATCTCAACTTCTGTTCAAGATAGATGGGTATTTCTTCAGGGTCCCCACCAAATCCTGGAAATTTTTTTCAAGACCCCAATTCGAGGGAAAAATAAGGCCACTGCACATCAAGAATGATCATGCATATATTTACATTTTTGTAGCACAGTCTTCAAACAAAGGATGATTATATAGCTTATTTCACTTAACAATCATATCCCACCTCTGTATTCCTTGCCATGAGTTGATTCAGTTATGTTTCCTCTTCATTATTCATCAACCATACAGTCCAGATAGCTACACTACTGATATTACACAGGATCTATCCTTTCTCGACTTTTTCCTGACCCATCACAAAATTCCCGACTTTTTACTAATTTCCCAACCTGGCGGGGACCCTGTTTCTTTCATCAAAAGCAAGACAAATGAAAAAAATGACCAGCGCCTGATTTCACCGCTTTGTAGGAGAAGCACATCAAGACCAAAGAGGTTACGCAGAGCTGGGAAAAGGCAAGACAGACGGACAGAAACAAAAAAAATTTCCAGTATCTCTTATCAATGTAAGTTCTTACCTTGTCGATAATTTTCCCGGTGACCCCCATTCCATTCAGTATGGTGACCTGAAAGAAAAGACAGAATAGCCGTGAAAAAAAAACAAACGTAGAATCAAATAAACGAAACCAGCCCAAGGCAGTGATAAACAAAACATGTGTCATGTGTATGATTCAACGCCATTGTCCTTATCACTACCTATCCATAAGTTGTTGAACTTTGATTCAGTAAGTGGCACTTGCAAAACAGTTAGGTCATAGTGGTTTCCCTTTGGTAATGTCCAACTTCTTTCAGCATAGATTCATTATCCAAGTGGCAGAGCTTACATAATAGCATCTGTCTGCAAAAAGATTAATCGTTTACCAGTTTCCAACCCATCCCTGCCCCCCCAAAAAACGTGATAGTGGTGAGAGCCTGATCCAGGACCTGACAATTATAAGAAAAGTTTCTCAACTATTTCACCAAGCTGACACTCATCATCCCCATCTCATCCCCCCCCCCCCTCCTTTCCCCAAACCCCATACCCGCCCCCACCCCCCACTCTCTACCCACACACCCACCTGCCCTATGCCTCAATAAAGTGAAAATAACACAAGACTTACATTTACAATGACTGGCATCCCACCGTAGTAAATGGGTTGAGTGCAGTAGGGCCACATGTACGGAGACTCGAGCAGGTCAATGTAGTTTGGACTGGCACTGAAGACGAAAAAAATCAAAACGGTTGACGGTTGAAGATACATGGGTATTCTTCAGGGTCCCCACCAAATCCTGGAAATTTTTTTCAGAGCATCACGGCCCGGCGGGGGGGGGGGGGGGGGGGTTAAATTTCATAAGAGTTTTACGGCACTTGCAACACAATAAGGTCATATAAGTGCCTAAGATTAGATGTGTTACAATAGAGTAACATACACAAAAAAGGAGGAGAGATCAGGACAATAGATGTTTGACAGGAAAGAAGGAGCAAACCACACCAGAGCACCCGCCAACCACACACAAACTCTGGTTTAATAGCAGCAATTTACACATAAAAAAGTAACTATTTACATTTTGGAGTTAAGACAAAGTGGTCTTCATAAAATCGAGAAATCTGTTGGGATCAACGATGGAGAACAAATTCTGGAATTAAATTAGTGCATTTACAATCTGGACACTCTATAAGGATGTACCTGATCGTGAAGTCAGTACTACATCTGACGCAAGACAGTTTTTTTTCTCTCCTTGCAAGAGGCATCTATGTGTCAGGAAGGCATGTACAATACGTAATTTTGTGAAAATGATTGAAACAATTCTGAGGCATCGTGGTGAAACCAGGCGTTCATCCAAATAATATAATCGAAGAAACAGGCATTTTTCCACCAGTCTGGCCATTTTTATCGAATTTTTGTTTTTTGGCTCAACTCCTTTTATGTCGACATAGAAACACATTGCCATGAGAAGTTTACAGAAAAATGTAGATTAGAATACAAAATATGTAATTTTTCAGTTTTCAGAGACTCCCAAGCTATAAAAGTTCCCAAACTTTGGCGGCCATTTTCTCTTTAATTTTAACACTCAAACCACTAGACCCCACCTCTTTCGATCGCAAATATCTCGACTTCTATTCAACACAGATGAGTATTTGTTTCACTAAAAGCAAGGCAAATGAACAAGCGTTCAGATGATACCAATCACTTGCAAATGCAAAAAAATTGACGGGCACCAGATTTCACTGTGCCGTGACACAATTTTAAATACATCTCCTGTGGCGAGACCCGAAAGTTTTGGTGGACTCAACCCGTTCCTCACCTGGCCTGTGGCGTGTAGTTCCTGAGAGCACGTAGAGCCTGAGGGAGGTCCAGCCTGCCGTAACCCTGCTCAAACATGTTGACGTCTGGCAGCCGTCGGGCGGTGGACATCAGAGCTTGCTTCATGCTTGCCGGGTTGATCATATGCTTTTTGTCCAGCACAGCGCTTAAGATAGAAAGCATACGGCAGTCAGTTTGATGGAGCGAAAAGAAAAAAGAAGAAACAAGTATATTTGTCCATTTCAGAAATTTGTTTTACAAAACAGGCTTAACCGTTTCGCACTTACAGCGCCCGCGCCGGTGACTCCCGCTCATTCCTATAGCGCCCGCCACGGGGGTGTTTGTTTCGTTGCCGCGGGAGGCTTCTACTTTTACTATCATCAGAAGTTTAACTTAGCTATCTTTATAGAGGAAGAATTCCGGTTTACTATGGTGTTTTTCTTGTTTCGCTAGCACAGAGTCACTTTTTGAGCTGGAACAAAAGTTGGAGGAGATTTTAGTTGTAAACCCGCCATCATGTCTCTAGGATGCATGGACGCAAAGCTGCCCGATATGAGTACGGCAAAAACAAAATAAAAACACCCAAAGAAAAGTCTTTTAGGTGCTTTCAAGTTTCCACCAGAGGCTTCAATCTCTGTGAATGTGTTATATTTCTTTTGTGTGGATTACCTCTTTGTCAGTGGCAGAAACTTTGTGAGTTGAAGAAATGTAGTCTAGTATACGAGGTCTAGATCTAGATCTAGACTCGGAATCCAAGACACGCATCTCAGAAAGACCTCTCATATCATTTCACACTCTTCTATTCCACTTATAATTTTGTACTAGTAATTTAGCTCATTCATTTTCCTTTCAGAAAATACTATTTTCATAATTTTTGGTTGTGTTTGTGATTTTATACAATTTTTTTTTGTAAGGTACCCCTTCAATTTTCGTGGAGTTGTTGCCCTTGTCTTAAGGATGGGGGGCCACAGCTGGCCAAGCCTGCTAAGTGCGAAAGGGTTAAAGATCATTCGAAAGCAAGTTAATTATACAAAGTAAACGAGGTTTTTAAAAATTTAGGCAAGCATTCACATCTAAATGAAACAAAACTTCAATCCAGCTTCACAGATCATTTGGAAAAAGAGCAATATCAACAAGTAAGGAAAGGCATTATTAGGAAAAAGATGGGTAATTGTCCAAAACTTGGCAAGCCAACAGAATTATTACTGTTGGAGCCCAGCCTAAATAGAAAAAATTCACAGTCCAATCAGGGAAAATCAATTCAAATTTTCCGTCCACGTGGTTTTATGCACCCCACATAATTTAGCAAATTTTGATCATTTTTTGCATAATTTCTGATTTCCTTTGTTAAAATTAACAGAATCGCATAATTTCACATTTTTGGGCTCAGTTTGCATAATTTCATAATTTTTTTGGCATAAAACCACGGGGACAGTCAAATAACAACCAGAGGAACAAAAAGAAACACAACACTGTTCCCTCAAAAGAGTACAAATCTTAACATCTTGATCAAGAAGTTGCATCACATACATAAATCATTATGGTTATAATATTATCTTATTTGGAGTCTTTCCTTAATCTTTTCATTACAGGTGTCAGAATGTAGCTGGCAGGGTCTTGGCTATTTTTTTTTTAACAAGAGAAGTAATCAAACCCAAGGTGTCAGGTTTTTAAAAGTCTTTTGTTTTTTGAGTCTTATTAACTCTTTAAGCCCTGAGTTTTTTCTACCCTTTCCTGGAGTTTTTTTCTACAGTCACCAAAACCAAGTGCATTATGTCTCATTATATACCCAAAACCTTGCCTCCAACTTCTAAATAGCAGAAATAAAGGCATAGTCATTACTAAAAAACTTGTTGGTTTGGGAATGGTTCCAAAAAACAAGCAAAAACTAGCACCAAATAAAACGAAACAGTCGTTGCTAGTACTGGACGCTCCCAGCGTCTGATGGGGAACAGGGTTATTACCGCCAGACGCTCCCAGTCCCAGTGTCTGATAGGGTTCAAAGAGTTAAGTGTTGGACCTAACATTATTCTCCACAGAGCATCACTTCCTTTTCACCTATGGCAAAGCTAATTTAAGAACTAGCCTGGATCGATATCAACATTTGAGACCTAAGACCTCACAATGAGTGACCTTCTCTTCCACTGAGCGAAAACCCTCCAAAGAACACTGATCCAGAAACAGATTCAAACTTCCGACACAAGCACTGTCATGTGTGTTCCAGTGTCTGACCAAAGTGGGAAAAGAAATCTACTACGCACTCATGTGCATAGCTCTCTTAGCTGTAAAAATGTGTATTGGACATGTAATACGTGCATTTATAGCAATGCCAGTCCCAAACTATGACCTGACCCCCACACAATCACCTAGCACCATATGTTACTATGTAGCAATACTAAGATGTGATTATCCGCGTAAGGGGATAAAATTCACGTCCTTGCTTATGTGGAGCTGCAAACATTGAGGAATGAACTCACCTGATAAGCAAAGTGACTGCTCCAGCAACTACAGGAGATGCTACACTCGTGCCAGAAAGTGACCGGCAACTTGACCTGAAACAAGAATAAGACTTATAACATTAACACAAGCAATACTAAACTACCAGAAAAGAGAAAAGAGAAGGACCCTAAGACACTAACTACTAGTACTCCATTCTCCCCTCATTAACATTAAGACTACATAATCAACTACAAACAGAGGCACCTATTAGACTGGTGTTAAAAAATTAAATTTTTTTTATAGTCAAGGGTTTTACGGCGCTCGCAACTGCATAAGGTCGTATGAGCGCCAAGGGATGGGTGTCAACAGAGAAGTCTTTACAGGGAATCAGACTTAGACTGCTCACCTCTCTAGCTTCAACAGCACAAGGTCTGCTTCGACTATCAAGGCACCCCAAAATAGCAGGTCACAAGAGAGTGACAAACATAAGTAGAGGAAAATTATAATAGTAAGGATCAGGAAAGAAAAAGCAGCAGTTCCCTGTTGTAGATCAGGCACAGTTATGAGCGTGACATGAGTCAGCCCATTTACAATTCTACTATGCTTGAACGAGAAATGTCCCCCCTTTGGGAAGGGCCTTAAGACACTACAGTCAGTAGCACTGCCTCGGGGTGTGTGTTAAGAATGAATAAAGAAAAGCATACTAAATAACAAGTGGGCCTGTTCAGCCACAGCAAGCGCTGCTCTCGAGAAATCTCCTACGCCGCAGATCTATAGTCTCCTGAGACTGAAGGATGCCACACCATACTAACACAGTAGCGGTCATTTAGTGCAGGGAAAAAGGTCAAACAGACAGAGAAACTATAGAGGGGAAAGAAAAGCAGTAGGAACTACCAATGGTGCCCTCCAACCACCTGCCACAGAACCTGGGTGACATTCTCATTGTTTTATTGTTTTAGTAAGTGTTTTACGGCACTTGCAACATAATAAGGTCATATAAGTGCCGAAGATTTTCGTGTTACAAGGGAGTAACAAACACAAAAAAGAAGGAGGGGAGAAAAAGACGATAGATGTTTGATATGAAAGAAGAAGCAAACCACACCAGAGCACCTGCCAACCACCCACCGACATTCTCATCATTCAAGGTTTTGAATACATGTCATCAAAGATATCAGACTTGAGATATTCAATAATATCTGCATATTTACATAGTAATTGCAGTAAATCAGCACAAAAAACTTCATATTTTGATGGGAAAAGACAAGCAAAATACTGACACAAAAAGGAAATAAGAGAAGCAGATGACACCTCAGTTTTAGTTTTAGTAAGTGTTTTACGGCACTTGCAACACAATAAGGTCATATAAGCGCCGAAAACTAGAGGTATTACAAGAGAGTAACATACACAAAAAAGGAGGATGAGAGATAAGGACGATAGATGTTTGATAGGAAAGAAGGAGCACACCACACCAGAGCACCCGCCAACCGTCGATGTGCACACTCAGAAAAGATTAAGACAAAGACAAAGTACATAGGAATAATATCAGGCTGAAAGCACTTACTTCAAAGCAGATCCTCGCACGGCTGATCCATAGGTCACAATGTCTGGCTTCATGCGGCCATATCCAGCAGGAAGTTCCTGTTCATGATGGAATGAACCAGAACAAATTAGTGTGTGTGTCTAAACCCGAATTACTCAACAGTAAAGGAGTCCCACTCTGCCTCTCCCTGCAGACTCACTTCAACTTACTCAAAAACTCTTTTCTAACTTTACCTCTTCAAAATACGTCACCATCCTTTCACTATCACATAACTTCTGTTCTACCAATATGTAGTGTTTTTTTAGTTTAGTTTTAGTAAGAGCTTTACGCCACTTGAACCACAATAAGGAGGTCATTATAAGTGCCGAAGATTAGAGGTGTTACAAGAGAGTAACAAACACAAAAAAGATGGGGAGATAAAGACGAAAGATATTTGATAGGAAAGTAGAAGCAAACCACACCAGAGCACCCGCCAACCACCCACATGTAGTGTTTTACAAGACTTCAAAAGCTAAGAAATTCCTTCATTTTACACAGTTTTATAACCAAAAATTCACTCTGGACCTGGAAAGTAAGTAGAGGTCAACGTATACCCACCCATGTGGTCATCCCTCTGGAGGAGAAGCGAGCAATCTGGTGCTCAAAGTTGATGCCTCCCACTCCAATAACGTCCAGCTGGTCTGCTGGGTTATTTAGAGTGCTGGAAGAGAAAGTCAAAAGCCTTGCTTTATTTCACTAGATTTTACAAAACACCATTTTCCGATTTGTTTCTTTAGCTTTAAAACAAGGCTGCTTTTATGAACATATTTCCCATGAGGAACACGTACAAATTTAGTATTTTAATATTCCATTTATAAAATCGAACAAGACTCAAATAAAATATGCTTGTTACATAACATACATGGACTATTACTCTCTGACTTTGAAAATGATTTGAACAATAAAGAACAAGATTATAAACCACAAAAAGCAATGTTTGATAAATCAAATCACTTACCCATACAAAGGTCCATCATTGCCAATAGCAGACACCATAATAACCTTGTTGGCAGTAAGCTCCCAGACCTGATTCACATTAAGAAAATGAGTTAAAACACTACAGCAGTTTGACACGTTTATGAAATTTAATATCACAATCCTTGACAGAGTGCTACCAAGATCACGTTAAATATTTTTGTGAAAATATAGAACACAATGTAATGCCAAAAAGCTTGTTAACCTAACACTAAGAACATAGCACTCCATACAAATCTATATCAATGAGAAAAATATGTTTTAAAAAACCCTGTAAGAAAATGTGCTCTAAATTTTAACTGAATGTTTTTTAAAAAAAGGCAGTAGCCCAAAAAATCTACTGATAATATAGCAGAACATCACACTAAGCATATTTAAAATAACAAACAAAATCTCCGATCACCATCTGGAAAATAATCCAAAGCAGGTTGAAAGAAGAAGAACCCCTTTCCCCCAAAAAGGGAAGGCAATTATTTGAGAAGAGGTTTAAAAGTACAATAAACAAGTCATAAGAGGATAACACAGTGCGTAAAATTTTTCAAGGCACACCTTGTCTACGAAAGGATGATCCATGAAATCAGGGCCTCCAATGCTCAAGTTGAGGACATCGATCTTCTTGAGAATAGCATAGTTGAAGGCATCTAGGAACCAGGATGTATAGGACACCTGAGAAAGACCAAGAAACATGGTATCAAAACAAAACTGTATTCAGCATAATCAAAACATTACATGGTGATACCTGTTCTTTTGAGGGTGCGGTGGCGGAGCGGTTAGTGCATTCGTCTCTGAAGCGGAAAGTCCAGATTCGAGCCCCGGTTCGGACACAGATTTTTTTCGCCCCCTCCTGCCAACCCAGCAGTAATGGGTACCTGACTTCGAGTTGGGGAAGTAAAGGCGGAGTGGAAGGAAACTGGCCACCCTACCACAATACGCTGAAAGCCCAGGAAGTTGTCTCAATAACAAGGCAATCCTCAATGTCCGGATCAGATGCAGGAACAACTTCACTTTTTTACCTGTTCTTTCAGTGCGACTTAAGACATAGCAAGAAGCTAACTCAATCAAAAGTACTACCCAAATCAGAACAATGTTACAAAATCATACAAAGCAAATTCAAGGAATACAATTTCTTAAAGAACAGTTAGAAATCAAATTACTACATTTCGTACCACCCACAGGGATTTTCCATGTTTGCACTTCATCCCTTGCTGCCCACTCAGGTTTAAGAACAACAGGGCATTTTTCTGCTTGTTTTGAGTCAAAGAGGAGTACACAACATGATAATTTTTTTCTTTTCTTTTTTTTTTGGTAAGTGTTTTACAGCGCTCGCAACTGCATAAGGTCATATGACAAATTAAACTTCTTCAATTGATAGGAAATTTTGAATTTTGCCCGGGTGGTGGCCGAAGCCTACTCTTATCGATTTTAGACCACCAAGGGATCTTTAACGTGTGCAACTTGCATACGGGCATTCCGAGATTTTTCGCCCTTGTCCGAGAAGGCTAGGTGTAGATCTTTCCTACCAGAAGATCAGGGGTGTGGCTGAAAGACAGCAATAAGAAGGAGCCAAGGAGTAGCAGTAGAAAGGTTGCAGAAAGAGTCAGGAGTCCAGATGATGGAGCAAAGGAGGTGAGGGGGTGGGGGCAGAAAGGGGAGACGAAAGCAGATGACAGAACATTGCTAGAGAGCAGAGAGCGAAGAAAACTTTTCAGTCGCAACCCGGATTCGAACCCGGGACCTTTGAATGAGAGGCTAACGCCTTAACCTCTAGGCCACGAGAGCCCCCTGACCTGATAATCATTATCTAGACTTGTCAATAAGCAGGACAAAAAGAAACATCAGATGATTTGTAAATAAATAGCATCAACTAGTCGCGCTTCTCAAACTACCATTTTTCTCTCAAACCATTATGGACAAAAGTACAGGCCACGATGATTCTGTTCTGATTCTGTTACATCAGCAGAAACCGCAGAATTCCTTTGTTATACTGATCATTTTTTACATTACTTAGAGTCAAAGCCCTGGATATTAACATAATTTCCACACACTTCTCTCACTCAGATACCACCACAATCACCACGCTGTGCTGGCATTCAGTCGAAGAAAACTCATGAGGTGAACAGACAGTAGATCTTCAGAGGAAGAACCCCCTTCAAGCAAGTGTTTCGGCCTGAACTACCTGACACTCTAGGAGGGCCGTACCACATCCAAGTGCTCTCCTTCTATATGATCGCTTTTAAGGACAAGCGGGCTAACCCAGATTCCAGGAGTTTCCAGAAATCTTGACATACACCAAAAGTGAGCATTGCCCTACCTATAGGAGAAGTTTCATTTCATTGGTGCGTATATTTGTTTCGTTATAGAGAAAACTCTCCTTGTATTTTAAAGAAACTGAACAAGGGGCAAAAACTTTACCTTCGATTTCCACAAAAGTAAATTTTTCGGGATAGCCCACTTGTGCTTAAAAGCGACCATATTACAATGTACAAAACAAAGCACCTAGCAGTTCTCCCATTATGATGTACACTTCTAGAAAAAAGCTTACCTGATTGTTGGTGAACACCCTGAAGACAAAAATGTCTGCATCTGGAGCAAATCCCAGGCATTCCTTGTGGCTTGCAATGACTCCAGCTACAAAAGTCCCATGGCCAAGGCCTGTCCAGAAGGTTGAAAGTAAAGACAAGTCAGCACAACAATGGTCACATTTCACCAGAAGGACGCAATTTGGACAAAAACAACATAGATACAGAAGTAAAAAGAGCTTTAGTTTTAGTAGACGTTTTACGGTGCTCTCAACTGCATAAGGCCGTATGAGCACCAGAAGATTACAGGTGTTCCAAGAGAGTAACAAACATAAAAAAGAAGAAGGGGAGATAATGACAATAGATGTTTGATAGGAAAGAAGAACCAAACCCCATCAGAGCACCTACCAACCATCCACGTAAAAGGAGCATCCCACAGTACAAAGTCTACTTCAACTATTAAGGCACCCCGGAAATAGCGGGTCACAAGAGTGTGACAAACATACAAAAGAAGTAGAGGGAAAATGACGATAGTAAGGATTAGGAAAGATAAAGCAGCACTTCCCTGTTGAAGTTCAGGCACAGTTATGAGCACGACATTGATGAATCATCCCATTTATGATTACAATTTTACTGTCCATAAGAACATGGTTAATGTCCCCCCTTTGGGAATGGCCCTAAAGACACTTCAGTCAGTAGCATTGCCTCGGGGGGTGGTGTATCCATGAAAAAGGATTTCACTCAAATTTTTAATTACTGCAAAAAGCAACATCATAAGGCTTCATATTTACTTTTCTCATAACCTACTTTCTCACATTCCCAAGATCAAATATAAATTTATGAACATGAATGAACATGATCAGTTTAACAATGTCTTGGTTACAGTTCCCTGAGATTACCGTCATCAAGTGTTTTCTCGTTTGTCCAGTTTGTTCTGTCCTTCAGTCTGCCCCTTTTAAAATGGGGATGGTCAGTGGCCAGCCCAGTGTCAAAAATAGCCACTTTCACTCCGGCACCTGAAATTAATGGACAAATGTCATTTTAGTTCACAAGAGTATAATTTCAAAATACAGTCATTATCACAAATATAAGGCTTTTCCCACAAATAAAACAAAGCATAGGATTTTTTTATCGTTTCTGTCTTGCAATAAAAACAAAATTAGAAGAAAAAACATTTTGTTCCATATTGGTTCCAATTATAATCAAACTTTGTAAGGCATTTTCCAAGCACAGTTGAAATTGTCTCAGACAGCCACTCACTATCAAGGGGGACAGTGTCTTTGTAATACAGTGAAACCTGCCCTGACGGCCACCTCTATAAGACGGCCACCTGTACAAACGGCCACTTTCCATTCCCCCCCCCCCCTTGCGTTTTTTCTATATAACTTAACTGTGTAAAACAGGCACCTTTCCAACGCGGCCGCGGCCACCTTATTTTAACACGCAACCCCTATCACACTAAGCAATAACACCAGTCTTAGACGGCCACCAAAGTGACTCCATTACGTCCCGAGTGTTTGTTTTACCATAGCACTCAGTCCTCCTTGTCTGACACATTTGGTTTTATTGTCACCCTCGCACAAAAGCAGCAACAAAAGAAAGAAAAAGAAGAAAAAAACTCAGCGAAAACAACAACGATGCGGCTATCTTCGGTTGGGACCTCAGAAAGGAATGGTTTGTTTTCTTCATCTTGATCAGTCCTGCCTAAGACGGCCACCTGTCTTATATGGTCAGTTTTCTCCTTGACAATGGGTGGCCGTCTTACACAGGTTCGACTGTTTATCTTAAAAAACACAAGGGGGGAAAACGGTAAGTAGTTGTTTGAACAAGCGACGGTCTCAAGTAGACAGGTGGCGGTTAGAGCAGATTTGACTATAGTAACAACATGTATCAGATCAGATCAGAAGTAAGCTATGACAGAATACTGGACAAAAAAAGAAGGTGCAAACAAAACCGATGCACCCCCCCCCCCCCCCCCCCAATCCACCCCCTACAATGGATACAAAAGGCAAAAATTCTTTGTGTTACCTGTGTAACCCAATCCCCACAGCATTTCCGCTTGGAGAGCGCTGACAATCTGAAAGACAAAAGAGATTGCCAGGTTTCAATAAGCCAACACATGTTTTAGTTTTAGTAAGTGTTTTACGGCACTTGCAACACGGTCATATAAGTGCCGAATATTAGAGGTGTTACAAGAGAGTAACAAACACAAAAAAGAATGAGGGAGATAAAGACGATAGACGTTTGATAGGAAAGAAGAAGCAAAACTTTGATGTAAAATAGTTAGAACAAACAGAAGCCAACATTAGGCACACAAGATGTAATAGTTCACCCTTTCCCTATCCACATCAGATAGACTTCACTGGACCAGCACGGTAAACACTGCTTATTTAGTTTTAGTAAGAGTTTTACGGCACTTGCAACACAATAAGGTCATACAAGTGCCGAAGATTATAAGATAAGATCAGATAATACTCTATTATCCCAGAGAGAAATTTTTCTTGGTTGTACAGAACCATAAAAACGCATGCAGGTATACATAAAAAATTCAAATTATATATTACTCTCATTGAAATTCAATATAAAAAGAGAAGAAACAAGAGAGTAACAAACATAAAAAAGAAGGATGAGAGATCAGGACGATAGTTGTTTGATAGGAAAGAAGGAGCAAACCTCACCAGAGCACCCGCCAACCACCCACGTAAACACTGCTTACCACACAATTTACTTCCAATCACAAATAGGCAAACAAAACATTCAGACAAAAAATAAATAAATTGGGATTCTGATGATGGAAGGGTGAAACATTTAGCAGCGGTCTATTCCAATTCAATACAAATATTCAATTTTCAGGAGTTCGTCAACACATCTGGATCAAATAAATCCTACAAAAAGCTGTCAGCGTAGTTTTATTAAGAGTCTTACGGCTTTTGCAACACAATAAGGTCATATAAGTGCCAAGGACTGGAAGCGTTACAAGAGAGTAACAAACACAAAAAAGAAGGAGGGGAAGTAGAGAAGATAGATTTTTTTAGAGAAAAGAAGGAGCAAACCACACCAGAGCACCCTCCAACCACCCACAAAAGCTGTCAACACAAGCTCAACAATACCTGCTTGGGCACAGCTCTGAGCAGCTTCCTGGACTTGTACTTGGGGGGAGACAACCACATGGCAGGCTAAAAAGAAAAAGCAGAAAAAAATCACATGACGTACCGCTATTCTCAGAGCAATTTTATCAAGAGGAGTGTACTACTACTTTCACAAGTCCCCCCATATACTTTAAGATTCTCTGTTTTCATTAGCAAAAACATTCATAAGTCGACCATTTGTGAGTCATTGGGGTGAAATCAGGCATTCGTCAAAATCATGAAATCCAAAAAATCGGCATTTTTCTAACAGTTTTTTGACATTTGTTTCGAATTTTTGTTTTTTGGCTCAACACCTTGTGTGCCCATTCAAAAACACTTCTATGTGTGGATTTTATGGAAAAACGTTCGTTAAAGACACCAAAAATATATATTTGCAGTTTCCAAAAACACTTAAGCGACCCCATCTCCTTCAATCGCATATATCCACTTCTATTCGAGAAAAATTGATATTTTAAAAAATCGAAAGCAAGACACAATGAATAACCTGTAAGACGATACCAATAACTCCATATATGCCAAAAAACTGATGAGCACCTGATTCCACTGCGTCCTGACACATTTGCTCTGACCAAACTTTAGAGAAGTTCGTAGAAAAAGCACTTTACAAGACAAAACCATTGCATATTTCACTTTCTAGTTTTAGTAAGTGTTTTACGGCACTTGCAACACAATAAAGTCATATAAGTGCCGAAGATTAGACGAGTTACAAGAGAGTAACAAACACAAAAAAGAAGGAGGGGAGATAGAGACGATTGATTTTTTTATAGGAAAGAAGGAGCAAACCACACCAGAGCACCCGCCAACCACCCACTATTGCATATTGCAAGGTTTAAAAAATGACAAGTTCAGGGGAACAGGCCACTGAAGTAGTCACAACAAACTAGACCAACACAGAGAGACACACACAAAAGTTGAAGGATGAACATGAATATAATCTTAATTTTCTCCTGTCAACCATATTTCTTCTTGGTTTGAAGACCTTTACACAGAATTAGTGAATTATTCTCTGAAAATTTCATCAATGAAAACACTTTTTCCAATTCACAAAACATATAAGACAAAACTACCCATGCAAGTTCAGCCCTAAAGACTTTCTCCATATAAGAAACACATGATTCCCTTCATCCCTGGGTCACCAGGACAAAAATGTGTACAAGGCTGCAGGGCAGCAGAAGGTGTATTATAGAGACGGTAAAAAGGAAACAATTCATCTCTCAAGATACAGAACAAAAAGACACACGTTCAAACAAAACATGGACAACACTACATATAGCCAAACAAAATAGAGATTGGGTTGTAGTTTACAGTGAGACAGCACAATAAGGGTCACAGTTTGTTTTAACTCTTCCAGCCCCAGCCATTTTTGTGCACTCCCTAACCCCAGTTCAAGCCAATGCCGCAGTATTTCAGAAAAAGAGGCATGCATTCTAAAAAGTGATGTAGTATCTATGTAATGAGGTTTAGAAAGCAACATATAACAATGTTTAAAGGTAAATGAACAAATATTATGAAAATTTAAGTTAAATTAGGTTTGCTAATTTCGAAAAATGCTCAAATTCTGTACCCCCTGAAACTGAGAATATATGCTCTTGGGACAGTGGGAGGTACAGGCGCTGCTGAAAATAAACGCACTGGGGGCTGGAAGGGTTAAGTTTTAGTAAGAGTTGTACAGCACTTTGCAACATATTTGGGTCATTTAAGTGCCGAGGATTAGGGGTGTTTTAAGAGAATAACAAACACAAAAAAAGGAGGAGAGATAATGATGACAGATATTTGATAGGACCTGAAAGAAGGAGCAAACCACACCAGAGCACCCGCCAACCACCTACATCACAGCTTTCTCAGTGAACACTGGTACAAGACACTGAGAAGAAGAAAGGTCCAGAAAAGGCAGATGACATGAGACATTAAACCAACCATCCACAAGACAAGACAGAGAAATGAAAGACAGAGAAAGAGAGAAATAATATGATACGACATAAGCAATCACTATCAAATTCGAGCAAAGAAAAAAACATACCATGGATAAGCTTTTTCTCCCTGCATTCCGGGCATTGAAGCTATCCATTTGTTCCTCCTTATCCGCCTCCGCCTCATTGTCGTCATCTGGTACTGCATAAACAGAAGAAAAAAAAACCCAATGTAAACATAATTCATTCTAGTAAATGGTGAGTTGCTCCCAACTTCTTGTTTAGTTTTTCAGTAAGAGTTTTACAGCACTTGTAACACAATAAGGTCATATAAGTGCCGAAGATTAGAGGTGTAACGAGGGAGTAACAAACATAAAAAAAGGAGGGGAGATTAAGACGATAGACGTTTGATAGGAAAGAAGGAGCAAACCCCACTAGAACAACCGCCAACCACCCACGCTCCCAACTTCTATAGCACAAACTGTGGGCAAACATTTATTTGTATACCGTTCAGGAATAATGAATAATGACAGACACAGACATTTAACTAAGCTGAGAGTTAATGAACATTCTTTTTACAGCACTTGCAACACAATAAGGTCATATAAGTGCCGAAGATTAGAGGTGTTACAAGAGAGTAACAAACACAAAAAAGAAGGACGAGTGATAAAGACAATAGAGGTTTCACAGGAAAAAGCACCTGCCAACCACCCACCTACAAAATTTTTAGATTGTGGAGGAGTACAAAACACTATCTGCCTATAGCATCATGTTCAGAATGGCAAACATCTGGTAAGCTCCAGGGGCTAGTCTCTTGTTCAAAAGCTTGCTCTAAATAAGGTAAACATTGAAAATCTGCAGCACAATACTCTCAGAAAGGGGAATAGCTTGTTGCACCACAGATAACCATGAATGATAAATGAGCTGGTAAATTTATACATTATCATTGGGACCATCAAAAAATAAAGAAAAGGGGCTTTTTTATTTTGCCAAGGAAGGGAATTTTGTGAAATGGTTTCCTTTGTGCAACAGAAAGGTCTTCAGCCGTACTTGGTTAAAATTACTATGTTCACTATCTATACTAGAAAAATTGAAATAAAATAAGACAAGACAGTTTGTTTTAGTAGAGGCATTACGGCGCTCGCAAACTGCATTAGGTCATATGAGCGCCAAGGGGTGGATGTCGACAGAGAAGTCCTTACAGGGAATCAGGCATACTCTGCTCACTTCTCTAGCTTCAGCAGCACAGAGTCTGCTTTGACTATCAAAGCACCCCGGAAATGGCGGTCCACAAGAGAGTGACAAGGATACAAAAAAAGTAGAGGAAAAAAATGACGATGGTAAGGATTAGGAAGGAAAAAGCAGCAGCTCCCTGTTGCAGTTCAGGCACAGTTATGAACATGACACTGATGAATCAGCCAATTTACAAGTACCGGTACAACTCTACTGTAGGAACATTCCCTTTAGGAATGGCCTAAAGACACTTGTCAGTAGCACTTATGAGACTGGCTAAATACAGTCTAAAGACACTTGTCAGTAGCACTGTCCGGGGGGGGGGGGGGGGGTGAAGACAAGACAAATATCTCTATCTTCAGCATTCAACATTCAAGGACAATGCAACTGAGAAATGTCTTCATGCAAGCAAAGAAACTGTTTCAACATAATATATTACTGCAGCTTAAGCAGACAAAACAAAGCATCATAAGGAGAGGTAACCCGTTGAAAGAAATGTTCAACATGAAGTGGTCAAGTCAACAAGACCAACTAGAACACCACACTTGATTTTGCCATCAAATTATGGTACAAAGGAACAGGACAGAGTAACATGAAAAACGAAGATTACCTTTGGTGTACTTCAAGGACCTTGTGACTTTTCGGTGTGGGGTGACTCTTTTAATCAAGGGATGATCTTCTAAAGCACTCACACCATTTTGGTCGGAATTTCCATGAAACTGAAATTAAGAAAGCACTACATAATACTAAGAGAGAAATATATATATATATATATATATATATATATATATATATATATGATGGAAGTACTTTTGAAAATTCCTTATTGGTTGTGAAAACCTAGAACTTGTGAAACTAAAATCAGTAACTTATGAGACTGGCTAAATACAGTCTCATTTAAAAACATTAATTACCCAGTGTGAAAACAGAGCCCAGGCCACCTACTGAGGTCAAGTGTCTTACACAATGAGAACTGTTGGACAATCGCCTTGCTGAGATCATATCTCCACAAAATTGCACCAACAGACAACCCAGATCCGTCCTGTCGAGCCTGCAAGGAGGAGGACGAGACTATGGACCATATGTTCCTGAGATGTCCCGCCAACTATCGAGCCAGAACTCGTCTGGCGGGATATTTCAGTAACCCACTTTCAGCACTTTTCAAGGACCCCCGAGCAAGTGTTGAGTTCCTGCGTGCTGTCGGCATCGCTGACCGTTTACAACGCCACAGCACCAAAAGAGAGAGAGAGTGTCTTACACTTACACCATTATAGAACTAAGTTCAACCCATTTAGCTCCATTACTTTTGACAGGTACCTGTAAAAGACTTTAAAATACAAAGTGCAGTCAAAAAAACATATGATCTCACCTGTACTACATCAAAGTCACTTGGATAAGAATTGGCTGGATTAATCCTGGGTAACACTTTCCATGAGGTAACTCCTGCCTCTTGTAAAGCAGCAGAAATGAAGCGTTTGCGAGCTAGCGCCTTGTAGTACCCATCAAAAGTGATAATGAATTCTGTAAAAATCAAAACACGATTCCATTGGCTTAAACACAAATATATAACAAAAAAAGCAGTACATTTTTGTGCTGAAAACCTTTTGTTTGTAGTAAAAGGATTTAATTAACCTCTACTGGCACATGAACAGAACATGGTAAATTAAGAGAAAGAAAACATTAAGAAATCAAAATAATAGACTTAACTGAATACATGATGTAAGTGTCATGACACAGAGGAATGAGGGGCTCGGTAAGTTTTGGGCACAGCGAGTCATTATATAATCCTACTACTTATTATTTGCCCTGCTTTTGATGAAAAAAAAATACCCATTTATCTTGAATAGAAGTCGAAATTAGCAATTGAACCAGATGGGGGTCGTTAGTTTCAGATGTAAAATTAGCAGGGAAAGGACTACCAAAGTTTACTGAATATGTCTTTTAAGCTTGAGTGACCTTGGAAATTGCAAATTTATTTTTTTGCGTGCCTTTAATCAACATTTTTCAGTAAAATCCACAACACAGAGTGTTTTTAAACATGTAACTAGTGTTGAGCCAAAAAACGTAAAATCAATCAAATTCACCCTACGGGTGGAAAAATGCCTGTTTCTTCAATTTCATTCTTTTAACAAGTGCCTACTTTTACCACAATGCCACAAATATGGTCTAGTACAGCTAATCCCAAGGCAAGGGCAACACATAGTACTGGCCAAGGTAATGGGAAGGGCAGAGCTGATTTTACAATAAGCACACAGAATCATAAACATTGAAACTACAAATTAATAGTAGGCAATTATAAATAATGGTCAAACAAATCATTTCCATACTGACAGAAAGAACCCTAAGAAACGCTTACCAATTTTTAATCTAATTCTATTATTTGATCTTCAAGAGACAATTTCATTCCCCTGATTTTGACAAATTTTATATATATAAAAAATGTTCTTACCATTGTCAACAACAGAACTTGTAAATTCCACATCAACTCGCTTGGTTAAACCTGCATGCGTGGTGTTGCAAATATTGTGGGTCGCACTCTCAGAATGAGGCGACTCTGTTGCCGACAAGTTTTGTGCCTTAGACTTCCCATCAAAGCTTGCCGACGTCTGATTAGCAGACAAGTCAGCTGGGCGAATACTTGAGTCACTACTGCTATTGCTATTAATTCTATTCGCATCAGTAGCACTAGTTTTTAGCCCCTTGGTGCTGTTCTTGTCCTGTGCCTCAAAATGGTCACCAGCAGGAACAACTTTCATATTAGCCACACTGTCCTTCAACAAAGACGCAGGGCTCGGGTGTGAATGACTTTGATTATGAGGTCTGAATTTCTTCACGTCAAATGTTCCGGAATTGTAACTCAGCGCCCTGCTCGCAGCAGTTGAGACAGCACTCACATTCACCACAGAACTACTGTTCTGTTGCTCCACTCCACTATTGTTGACCGTGTGAAAATGACTTGTGGCATGGGCAGAATACTTTAACACATCTCCTCCAAGGAAAGAAAGAGTGTCTTTGTCACTACTGTTTCCCTGTGACACACTCTCCTTGGGACCATGATGATGATGCTGCTGGACAGTGTCATCATGAAAGTGCTGACCATCACAGATGTGGGGGCCGGTCAGGGCAAGGAGACACCAAGTCACAGCAAGTGTTCTCATCAACATTTTGAAACCTGATATTATCACTTCCACCTGTTCTTTATGAGCGAGTCTCTCCAATATGAATCATATTTTAGCAAGTGTTCTCATCAACATTTTGAAACCTGATGATATTATCACTTCCACCTATTCTTTATGAGCAAGTCTCTCCAATATATGAATCACATTTTTGCCAATCACCATGCCCATGCTAGAAACGTCATCACGATGTCCTGGGGACAGTAGACATCAACACTTCACTTCATGTTTTATCTGATGATGTCACTGCGAAGATCTGATGATGTCACTGCGAAGAAAGAAATTGCATTAAGGTCAGTGATAGAAAAAGTTTCAAAAAGCAATGAGTGACAAAAACAGTCTTGTGAGCACAAGAAGCAGAAGAGAATTACTTTCGTTTTACAGATGGAAACCAGAAACTATCAATCATCAGGTTGTAATAATACCGACTTGTCACTCACAATATAAAGTAAAAAAGGCCCACAGTTTACAACCACTCCCTCTTTCAAACTTTCACTTTGTATCGCCTTCATTTTATATAGTTCTTCCTTTTGACTCCTTTGTAACTTGAGAAATAGAAAAACAGCATCCTGTTCCGCCTTGTTTCTTCAACACATCATCAGATTGCAACGATCTATCTCTAGGCTTCTATAGCATACTCTTTAAAAAAGCCAACTAAGAGTGCAGAGTGTCAGCATTATTTTCTGCTCTTTCAATGACAACTTGACTCACTATCAGTCACAAAGATAAGTCTAGATTAGATCTCTACCTATTATGAAATCTAAGTGGGTAAAATTTTACTTTTACATCAGCATGCAAATCACTGCTGAGGCGCTAAACCGCCACATTTTTAGCAGTACATGTATACAATATAGCCATTAAAAACATCCAATCAATCGTTAAGAAAATCTCTCACCTAATTGTACATCAAATTATGGATGAAATACACTGGGGATGCCCCTACCGCCACAAATTGTTAAAAACATGATGCGCAATATTACTATGTAATAAGGTCTATTGCAGTGGCGGTGGGTAGTGAAGGGCTCACGGGCTTGAGCCCCTCTTCCCATCCCCCAACTCTATCCCAAGGTAAATGAAAGTTTCTTAAATGACGAAATAAGCAGATGAAACCGTTATAATTGCACGCAATGAACACATTGATCAACTTGGCTGCTTCTTGTTCATTTATCCAATCACTGTTGTCACCACATATAATACAGACTATAGTAACCTAACAGCCAATCAAATGTCTTTAGGGCTCAGCAAAGTAGGAGCCTGTTCCTACGGGCCTTCCGTAATGAAACTCTTCATTTATAAAAAGGTTAAAGATTTGAAAAAAAAGAACACTGTACTGAGGGCTCACTCTCTCCTAGCCCTGACAAGACTATGGGGTGGAAGTTTACAACCCATTTTCCCCCAGAGACGCAGTTACCTATGCTATGGGCGTAGGAATAAAAGGAGGGGGTGGGTGGACAAGTGGTCCAAAATTAATAAACGGAGAGGTTGGATTTGGAAGGGGGGGGGGGGGGCATTCAACCTCATACCCCACTTATACACAAATCTGTTTTATTTCTCCTTCAGTTCAGTGAGAGAACAAGAGATCATTTATAATGAAATTTTAGTGATTTTAGTAGGTTACTGTGACAACTTTTCCCACTTAGGAACAAACCAGTTTCATTACAAAAATATTTAAACCAATGTACAAAAGTTTTTAAAATGTACCGAAAAATGAGGTAGTAGCCAACCATGTACCGGTGCTATCTCTAATAATGAGGGTAATTTTTGCCATTATATTACTTACAACAAAAAAAAGGTTTCATTCAGATATCTAGATTCTTTTTTTTTAATCGAGCCGAACTACGCCGGTCGCCATTTTGTTTTGCCCGGAAGTTCTTGCTACTCCTTCTGAAAACTGTCTATCTGTGTGGATTATCAAATTGACAAGCAAAAAAACAAAGAAAAAAATTTATGATTTTATAGCACAAAAGTATTTTACTAATTTGATCGTCTACAAGAATGCTAGGCTATTTCATTTTTCGAATCGAGCCAAACTACATCGGTCGCCATTTTGTTTTGCCCAGAAGTTCTTGCTATTCTTTCACTCTCTCTATCTCCTTCTCAACCCCCTTCCCCTCCCTCTCTCTCTCACTGCCCGCGGACAAAATTGCACGCTTTCAACACAAGAGCGCTGGAACGTTTGTTTACACTGGTACAACGGTGAAAGCACACCGGGTGAGAATAGCCAAAAAAGGTTCGTCTTGCGCCATTCTCATCCCAGGTGAGAATAGAGGGGTGGCCATTGAATTCACTACAAAAATATAAATCTAAGCCCTAGCCTATATTTCATTTCAGGGGGGGCTTGCAAAAATAAAAATTTTAAAAAACCCACAATCTTCACATTTTACATGGCAATTTATCAGTATCAGTTTCCAAATGGCTGCCAATGAAACAGGAAGGCAATCTCCAAAGAGCGCCCAACATTCAATAGGCCTAGCCTAAATCTAGATTTAGATCTAGATCTAGATCTATCTAGATCTAGTAGGATCTATCTAATTCTAAATTAAGATCTAGAATCTACAGTACACTGACAGTGTGAAAGTAATAGATTAAAGGCCTATCTATAGCTATAGGTTATAATTCATTCATTTGGAAACAGGTAGGCAAGACTACACATTGTAGGCCTACACCACATGCCTTTAGTTTGATTACTAATTTAATAGGCAGATAATTAATATATTAGACTAAGTAAGTGTAGATCTAGTGAGCTATAAAGATAAGGGCTGTAAATTGTACTTTACCGGACTACCCGTCTCGGCCCGTGATTACTACGCACGCCTAGCCTAACTGCGCACTCATAGTTCTCTACGTGCGGACAATTTTAAGGTAGTGGGCTAGAGTTGGGTCAGGCTTGCAAAATTAGCGTCCGCGAGTAACGAACTACTCACTGGCAGTACCCGCCAACGAGTGGACGGGTAATGAGCCGTCCGCTTGTGAAGAGTAGTTCGCCACTCGCAACTCGCTACATCGGACAGAGACAACAGTTCGTTTAGCGAGCGAGCAGACGGGCGGACCGAGAGACTCCATGCATTCGAGCGGGCAGACGGACGGACGGGGAGCGACTCCTTCCATTGCATACTACTTACAACCCATCTCTCGCCCTCTATTGCACTGTGCTGGACCAGGAGTATGCCTAGCCAAGTAAAGTCCCGAGCAAATACGAATGAAAGTGGCTATTCTCACCCGCCCGGAAGTTCTCGCAAGATCAACTCCTCCCCTCTTCTCTCTCTCTCTGTCTCTTTCTGAATACACTGTCTATCGGTGTGGACGATCAAATTGACCAAAACAAAGTTAAAAAATGATGTTAAAACACAAAAGTAAATTAATTTGGTTGTCTACAAAGATGCTACGGCTATTTAACTTTTCGAATCGAGCCGAACTACGCGGGTCGCCATTTTGTTTTGCCCGGAAATTCTCGCGCTACTCCCCTCTCTCTTTCTCTCTCTCTCTCCACTGCCCACAGACAAAATTGTACGCTTTTAGTAGGCTACAGTTGTAATGGAACGTTTGTTCACGGCACAGAATTCTACAATTTTTCTGTTATCACAGTGTAGAATTCTGTGGTTTAGGGTGACGCAAAATTTGGTGAACGCGCACCGGGTGAGAATAGCCACAAGACTCGCCTGCACTATTCTCACTCCAGGTGAGAATAGAGGTGGCCAATACGAATAGTGGACCACGTAATAATTAGATTGACCAATTAGCCTCAAGGAGTCAGGGTCGTGGGTCAAAGGGCACGGTGGCATGGTCGTGATGACTGAAAAACCCAGTAAGAGACGTCAGTCGGTTGCTAGCAGTCGAACTTTATTCGAAGGTTTTAGTTTTAGGATGAGGACGTAGAAAACTGAGTAAGACGAGAGTGAGAAGGGGAGCTTGGAAGGGAAGAACAGCGGGCCACTAGACTTTCTAGATTTCTAGATCTAGATCTACAATCTACGATCTAGATCTAGATTCTAGATCTTGATTCTAGATTCTAGATTGTAGTAGGCCTAGATCTACTTAGATACTGTCAGTAGTCAGTAGTCACACAGATTTTAATTTTAAGTAATTTTGTAGAGTCAAGTGTGGTCGTGTAGGCTAAACTGTCTGTAATCTAATATGTATCAATGGTATACTGGAGTTGGAGTGTAGAAAACCATGTGAAAATATGAAAGAAAAAAACCCGGGGCAATTTACTGATCCCATGAAGAATAACAAACCAAACACACGGTTCATTGTACGCCAAAGACAAAGTATCCGTCCATTTTGTTTTGATCGGATTTGCTATACCCCAGATTTTTCTTCTTACTTTTTTTTCCTTTGGACATGGAATGCAGAAAGTAGGCCTAATTTAATTTTCTAGAAATTCGAAGCCTGCTTTGATCAACTTAACTTTGATTCAGTATTTTTTTCTGGTTATAACATTTCAAATAATTTTGTGAGTGCTGGTTAGTTAAGCAAGGTAGATATCTCTAGGCTTAATATACATAGCGGAAAACTCCGTTCAAAACTTGTATAGAACCCCTAAACCGGCACACTCTGTCACTTCAGCAGAAGCACCAGATAGATAGCCTAGCAGAGCGGCGGATCTAGGCTCATAATTCATACTGCTCATCGCAGTGCGCGCGTCCCCTCAACATACACCCACCGCCCCCCATGCATGAAATAAATACTAATCTATAGCTGTTGGTGGGTGTACTTAATCATGAACACCACAAGCATAAAGTTCAATATAAGCCTAATATAACTTGATTTTAAAAAACAGACCTCTGCAACTCATGCCACCGTCTTAATTTGCCCCGCTTCATTCTTACTCTTTCCATCCCCCTCTTCAGTCTAATTTTTTTCCAGCCCGAGGTCTACTTCCCCTGGTTTCCATCATGTCCCTCAGGCCCTCGTAGGCATACTCTCTTTCCATTGCCACCTTTCCCCTAACATATTCTCTTTATTTCCCCCCCCTTTTTTCTGCTCCCGTCATATCCAACTCATCTGCCTTCTTTTATTACCGACCTACCCACGACGCGCCATATTCCAGTCTTAAATTCTTCCTATGCATCATTACCATCTCTCCTATTAATCCTCTTTCCCTAATTTCTCTGATCCTTTCTCTTCAACCTACCATTATGATTGTTTTAACTTTTCCCTACTACTCCTCCCCCGAGTAACCTTTACCTACACGTACAAAGCGCGCGCCTATTGAGCAGGTTATTCAAGGACTTACAACAAATCTCCTTGAGGTTATTATAATTCGTTCATTTGGAAGCAGGTAGGCAAGACTACACATTGTAGGCCTACAATGTATACATCTATTCGCATGCCTTAAGTGATTACATTAGAATTACAACAAAGCTTTAGACCAGTAATTATTCGGCGTTAGATTTGCCGGCTGTCTGTAGTGTGTTTATTGTTTAATTATTTGCTAGCTCTAGTTTTCTTCTGGCTTGTTTAAATTCTTTTTAAAAAGTTAAACTAGTTTGTCTGCCTTAAAGGTTATTTGTAAGTAGTTGTTTCTATTTTGTTTTGTTTATTTGTTATGTTTGTAACAGTGGGGATTATATGGGCACCTTTCTGGGATGTGGGGGCGTCTTTTAATTAAGTCATACCTCTCGCACGACCCGCTTTTCTCTTTCTGAAAATGATGAAATCTTAGAGAGCTCAGAGATGTTTTTCCCTGGGATCAATTTTCTAGAGGACCCGACCAGAGACTGTATTTACGGTCTTTTGACCCGACCTTGTTGTTGTGGCTCCTTGTTAGAATTTTTATATATACATGTA